TGCATGATCCATGCTTTCCTCTGATTCTAGCCCATGCAATAATCAGTGCCTGTAAAAGAAGGATTGTTTAGTAATAATATAACAGGTTACATAAAAAGAACATCTGTAATTGTCTTCTGGAGTATTGAGATAGTTTCTCATACTGCAGGATGGAGGAAGGGGAATATTGATGAGAAAGAGCTCCAAGGGGACAGAAATGGTGAAAGCACTTTTGGAAAGAAGAAAAGGCAGACTGAATCCTAGGGCCTTTGGCTAGGGACTGGGTCTTGTCCTGAGAAGAGACCCTGAAGTTGCATATTACAATTGCCTATATGTGGGATATTTCATATCTATCATAGCTTGTCCTTGTCATAATTGAACTTTATCTTTTTTAAAATGAAAAGCCAAAGAATAGTGGGGAAAATTCCACAGTGAGTTTTTTCAAATACACGTGATGAATTTAATGAGTTCATATGTTTTGATTCCCAGCATTAGCATGATCCTATTGGACTACACTGCCCCCAAATGGACATGTACCAAAAGAAGATGGGTCTTACTCAAGTGTAAAAAATCAGAGGATCAACCAGACTTAACGTGGATGCCGAAGTACTTTTTGTTTTTTAACTCTGACAGGAGCAAAAAAAAAATGTTGAAAGTATTAGAAGATAATCTTCTGCCTTGAGAACTTGATTTTTGTGTGCCTTGGGTATGAAATCATCCTAGTGTGGTGTAATGGAAAGGCATTGGATGTGTACTCATTTCTTTACTTAGCATTAATATGTTATGTAACTTCTTGAGCCAGCTTCCTCATCTTTAAAATGAAGATAACAGTATCTAATTTGTAGTGCTATTGTGAGGATTAAAATGGATAATACATGTAAACCACTTTCTACAGTGTCTGGCATATAGAAGTAGCTAAAAAATGTTCATTAATCTTTCCTTTTTCCACTCATACAGTGTCTAGTATGAGTGCCTAGTGTCTAGTATGTCTTAGTTTGAGTCAAAAACGATGGCTGTAAAGAGTTCTCTGAATTCAGTTAAAGCTCTTTGGGCCATTTGTAGAATGGCTCATTTCTCTGTAAGTGAGCATTTCCCCAAATATGGGTTTTAGTATACATTCAAATGTGTTTTTGCTTATTAGCAAAACCCCAGCCCACAAGAACTTTATCTTTAAGACTCCTTTTCCTCCTCCTCTTTATCTTAGACCCCAAAAGACAGCACTGTATTGTACAGGCAGCTGTGTAATTCAGCATGAAAGTCCATCATAGCTAAGTGTTTCGCTTTCCCTCAGACAGAGTTTCTTAGCCTCTGAACTGTTGATGTTTTCAGCTGGATACTTCTTTGTTGTGGGGATGAGTGAGTGCTATGATGTGTACTGCAGAATGTTTAGCAGCATCCCTGGGCTCTATAAACTAGGGCGGCTACTGTGGAAAACAGTATGGAATTTCCTCAAAAAAAAAAAACTAAACTAAAAAGGGAACTGCCTTTTGATCCAGTGATTCTGCTGCTGAGAATATACCCTAAACATCCCAAATCACCAACTCAAGAGAACTTATGCACCCCTATGTTCATAGCAGTGCTAGTTACAATATCCAAGTGCTGGAAACAGCCTAACTGCCCATCAGTAGATGACTGGATCAAAAAATTGATACATTTACACAATGGAATACTACACAGCAGAAAGAAAGAAGGAACTCCTTCCTTTTGTGACAGGATGGATGGAACTGGAGAATGTTATGCTAAGTGAAATAAGCCAGGTGGTGAAAGACAAATATTATATGATCTCTCATATAAGAGGAATCTAATGAACAAAATAGAACCATAGGCATGGAAACATGGAACAGACTGATAGTGACGGGGGGGGGCAGTAATTATGGAAATAAGGTGCAGGGACTAGTTAAAGAGCATCTATGAATGGCCCATGGACATGGACAACAGTGTGGAAGTGGGGTTTGGTATGGGCAGTGGAGAGCAAAGGGACAGAAATTGGGACAACTATAATAGAATAATAATTTTAAAAATCTTTAAAAAGGGACAAGGATGAGTGTGGGGAAGAATTGTTCAGGTAGAGGAACAGTTTGGCTTTTGAAAGAGAACATATTTTTTATGTCAGTTTTATTTGTATTTATTTTTAAATTTTTTTATTGTTCAAGTACAGTTGTCTCCATTTTCCCCTCACCACTCTCCCCCACCCTACCCATCCCACCTCCCACCCTCAATCCTAACCCTCTTTGGCTTTGTCCATGGGTCCTTTATTCATGTTCCTTGACAACGTTGCCCATTGTTTCCTCTGTTATCCTCCTTTCTTGTCTGCTCTGGTTACTGACAGTTTGTTCTTAATTTCAACGTTTCTGGCTCTATTTTGCTTGCTTGTTTGTTTTGTTGATTAGGTTCCACTCATAGGTGAGATTATATGGTATTTGTCTTTCATAGTCTGGTTTATTTTACTCAGCATAAGCTTTCCAGTTCCATCCATGTTGTTGTGAAGGCTAGGAGCTCCTTCTTTCTTTTTGCTGTGTACTATTCCATTGTGTAAATAAACCACAGTTTTTTGATCCATTCATTTACTGATGGGCACTTAGGTTGCTTCCAGGCCTTGGCTACTGTAAACTGTGCTGCTATGAACATTGGGGTGCATAGGTTCTTTTGAATTGGTGTTTCCGGATTCTTAGGGTATGATCAAAGCAGTGGAATTGCTGAGTCAAAAGGCGCTTCCATTTTTAATTTTTTGAGGAAATTCCATACTGTTTTCCACAATGGCTGCATCAATCTTCATTCCCACCAACAATGTACTAGGGTTCCATTTTCTCCACAGTCTCTCCAACACTTGTTATTGATTTGTTTATGATGGCCATTCTCACTGGTGTGAAGTGGTATCTCATTGTGGTTTTAATTTGTCTCTCTGTGATGGCTAGTGATTCTGAGCATCCTTTCATAAGTTTCTTGGCCCTCTGAATGTCCTCCTTGCAGAAATGTCTGTTCAGGTTCTTTGCCCATTTTTTAATTGGATTGTTTGTCTTCCTGCAGTGGAGTCATGTATATATTTTGTATATTTTGGAGGTTAAACCCATGTCTGAGGTATCATTTGCACATATATTTTCCCATATGGTTGGTTCTCTTTTCTTTTTCCTGATGTTTTCTTCAGCCATGCAGAAGCTTTTCATTTTGATGAAGTTTCATTTGTTTATTCTTTCCTTTATGTCCCTTGCTCTAGGGGACATATTGGTGAAAATATGGCTGTGTGGGATAGCTGAGATTTTCTAGCCCATGTTCTCCTCTAGGACTTTCATAGGGCTGCAAATTATATTCGAGTCTTTTAACTATATTAAGTTTATTTTTGTGTATGGTTAAGTTGATGGTCAAGTTTCATGTTTTTGCATGTAGTGGTCCACATCTCTCAAGAGGCTATTTTTACTCTATTTTGTGCTTCTGCCCCCTTTGTCCAATATTAATTGACTGTAGAGACATGGGTTTCTTTCTGGGCTCTCTATTCTATTCCATTGAATTATGTGTCTGTTCTTTTATGATGGTACCAGACTGTTTTGATTACTGTAGCCTTGTAATACAGTTTGATATCAGGTATTGTGATCCCTCCTACTTTGTTCTTTTTTCTCAAAATTGCTGAGGCTATTTGGGGTCGTTTATGGTTCCATATGTTTTTGATATATTCTATATCTGTGAAATATGTCATTGGTATTTTCATAGTGATTGCATTGAACATGTAAATTGGCTTTGGGTAGTATGGACATTTTGATGATGTTAATTCTTCCAATCCATTGAGCATGAGCATGAACAATGCTTCCATTTATTTGTGTCTTCCTTTGTTGGAGCCCAAGAGCCCTGTGAGGGGTCGAGGATAGGGTCTAGCACCGCCGGTGTGGTGACTGGGCCTGGTTTCCGGCCTCGGGGCTATCTTGGGTTGTAACAGTTCTCTGACCCCTTGAGAAACTAGCTGCCTCTCCCATCAACTCATATCTTTGGCCTGTGCGTCATGTACCCAGAAAGTATGTTAGCTTGGGAACGTCCGGACTCTAAGGGAAGAGATAAACTTTGTAGGTCAAGGAAGTGAGCTACGTGCCAGAAGGCTTCTCCTTTATTCTCCTTTGTATTCAAGATTGTATATAAGCCAGAAGACTGCGCAATAAACTTGCCTTATGCCAGCAGAACATTTGGTCCTCTCCTTTATTTCAATCCCTCACTCAGCCTCACGACCACCCTTGCCGCATTCCTTAATTTCTTTCTTCAGTGTTGTGTCATTTCTTTGAGTACAGGTTTTTAACCTCCTTGGTTAGGCACATTACTAGGTACTTTATTTTTTGTTCTTGCAATAGCAAATGTTAATTTTTTCCTGATTTCTGTTTCTGATATTTCATTGTTGGTATACAAACACACCTTTGCTTTCTGAATATTGAGTTTGTATTCCACTGTTTTGCCAAATTCACTTATTAGGTTGAGTAGTTTTTTGATGGAGTCTCTAAGGTTTTGTATGTAGTCTATCATGTCATCTGCAAATGATTTTATGTGCCAGGCCTTTTGTATACAAATATTAATTGTAGGTCCTGCTCTGGAGGGGATCACATTTCAATGGGAGGGGCAAGCATATGAACAATGAAAATGTGTTGAAGCAAGGGTAATGATAGAGATATATAAATGGTGCTATTGGTCAATGGGAGCACAGACAATGGGCACTGATCTTAGTGTGATGAAGGGAAGGTTTTCCAGAAAAGATCACATTTCCATTAATAAAAGAGTAAATATTAGCCTGGAGAAGATTAAGGAAGGATAGAAGAGATGTAGAGAATTTGGGGTTTGGAGAGAAGCGCAAATCATTTATGTTGGCTCCGAGGGGAGTGTGCTGAAAAAGAAAGAGTGGTGAAAGAGAAGGCTTTTAAAATATATAGGAAGCATATTTGAGTGAGAGGGCTTCAGGCCAAGATGGAGGCATAGGTAGACACACTATGCCTTCTCTCACAATGAAAAGAAGAACAACAACAAATTTAAAAACAAAAAACAACCAGAACTGACAAAAATTGAACTGTATGGAAGTCTGACAACCAAGTAGTTAAAGAAGAAACATTCATCTGGTAGCGGGGGCAGAGATGGGTAGCCAGGTGGAGAGGACTCGTGGCAGTGCAGGGGCTGGAGGAATGGAGCAGGCGAGGCAGCAGCTGGCAGACTGGGGAAGGCAGAGGCCTATCTAATAACTCACAGCTATTAACAACTGGGCCTAAAAAAAACAAAACAAAAATAAACTAAGCAAACAACTGTAACAGGAACAGATTCACAGCAATGGAGATCACATGAAGGTTTATCAGTGGGGGAGTGGAGTGGAAGAGAGGGGGAAAAGGTACAGAGAATAAGTAGCATAAATAGTAGGTAGAAAATAGAAACAGGGAGGTTTAAAATAGTATAGAAATGTAGAAACCAAAGAACTTATATGTATGACCCATGGATATGAACTAAAGGTGGGGAATGGGGGTGGGAGGGGGTGTGCAGGGTGGAGGGGAATAAAGGGGGGTAAATGGGACAACTGTAATAGTATAATCAGTAAAGTATATTTAAAATACATATAAGGAAGCAGATCATGAAAACCCTTCTAACCACATGAAAAACTCAATACTGAGAACTATTAAAAGCCATTGAGTTTCTCCATGATCCTGTTTGGATTTAGAGAAGATTACTTTAGCAGCAGTGTGAAAAATAGATTCGAAGTAGGGTAACTAGTCAGGAGGCTATTTTGTAGTCTATGTGTGAGATAATTATGTCTTGGGTTACAGAAGTGGCAGTGAGAAGGCATTCAAGATCTATAGGTGATGAGAACAACAGGATCCAGGGACCGGTTAGGTTTGGGAACAGTTTCTAGCTTGTGTTACTTGTTTGTTTGTTTGTTTTTTTAATTACGTTTATTGATTACGCAATTACACTTGTCCGGAGTTTTCACTTTTTGCTCACCACCAGCAGCACCCAGCACTCCTTCAGGCAATCACCCCCACCTTGTTCATGTCCATGGGTCATGCATATACGTTCTTTGGCTACTCCATTTCCTATACTATATATATATTTTAAATGTATTTATTTTAATTGTTGTTCAAGTACAGTTTTCTGTCTTTTACTCCCACCCCAGCTCACCCCTCTCAGTGGCCCCCAGCTCCCCCCCATTTCTACCCCCCTTAGTTTTTGTCCATGTGTCCTTTATACTTGTTTCTGTAAACCCTTCCCCTTTTCCCCTGAAATTCCCTCCCCTCTCCCCTCTGGACACTGTCAGCCTATAATGTACTTTATGTCCTCCATGGCTATTCTGTAATTACCTATTTGTATTCCCTAATCCCCTCAACACTTCATCCATTCCTTACACCCCCCTTCCTATCTGGCAGCCATCAAAATGCTCTATCTGTTTTTGTTTGCTTTTTAGATTCAATTGTTGACAGATATATATTTTTGCTATTTTATCGTGCATAGTTTTAGTCTTATTTTTCTTAGAAATAAGGGGAAAAGAGACTTTTATTAAGTCCCTTTAATACTTCATTCAATTATTGTTTGGTGATGATGAATTGCTTTAGCTTTTTCTTGTCTGGTAAACTCTTTATCTGTCCTTCAATTCTAAATGACAGAATTGCTTGGTAGATCAATCTTGGCTGTAGGTCCTTGCTTTTCATGACTTTGAATATGTCTTGATGATAAGCCCTTCTAGCCTGCAAAGTTTCTATTCAGAAATCAGCTGACAGTCTTTTGGAAACTACCTTGTGGGTAACCAACTGCTTTTCTCTCTCTGCTCTTAAAATGATCTTTTTATCTTTAACCTTTGGCATTTTGATTATGATGTGTCTTGGAGTGGGCTTGTTTCCATCTATCCATCCATCCAACCATCTTGTTTGGGACTCTCTTTGCCTCCTGGACTTGTTTGTTATTTCTGTCATCAAATTAGGGAGGTTTTCTTTTTTATTTATTCTATTTTTAATGTATTTTATTGATTATGCTATTACAGTTATCCCAATTTCCACCCTTTATTACCCTCTGCCCTGCACATCCCCTCCCACCCACATTCCCTACCTTTAGCTCCTGTCCATGGGTCATACATATAAGTTCTTTGACTTTTACATTTCTTGTATTTTTCTTAACTTCCCCATGTCTACTTTCTTTTTTGTTTTTACTTTTTTTATTGATTATGCCATTACATTTGTTCCATTTCCCCTCCTCCATTCCCCTCCACACCCCTCCCCCATCATTCTCCCCCCTTTGGTTCATGAACACATGTCTCAAGTTCTTTAGATTCTATATTTCCCTTACTATTCTTACCCTCCACCTATCTATTTTCTATCTATTGTCTATGCTACTTATTTTCTGTACCTTCTCCCTCCTTCCCCTTCTCCCACTCCCCTGTTGCTAACCCTCCATGTTATCTTCATTTCTATGGTTCACTCCTGATCTAGCTGTCTTCTTAATTTGCTTTTGTTTTAGGTGTGGTTCTTAGTAACTGTGAGTTTGCTGTCCTTTCACTGTTCATCTTTTTTATCTTCTTTTTCTTAGGTAATTCCCTTTAACATTTCATATAGTAAGGGCTTGGTGATGATGAACTCCTTGAATTTGATCTTATCTGAGAAGCACTTTATCTGTCCTTCTATTCTAAATGAAAACTTTGCTGGATAGAGCAATCTTGGTTGTAGGTGTTTGGTTTTCGTGACTTGGAATACTTCTTTCTAGGCCCTTCTTGCCTGTAAGGTCTCTTTTGGAAAATCCACTGACAGTCTGATGGGCACACCTTTGTAGGTGACTGTCCCCTTAGCTCTTGCTGCTTCTAGAATTCTCTCTTTCATTTTAATCTTGGCTAATGTAATTATGATGTGCCTTGGTGTGTTCCTTCTTGGGTCCAACTTCTTTGGGACTCTCTGAGCTTTCTGGATTTCCTGGAAGTCTATTTCCTTTTCCAGATTGGGGAAATTCTCCTTTATTATTTGTTCAAATAAGTTTTCCTTTGGTGGCTGTTCCTCTTCCCCTTCTGGTACCCCTATAATTCAGATGTTGGAACATTTAAAGATGTTCTGGAGGTTCCTAAGCCTTTCCTCAGTTTTTTGAATTCTTGTTTCTTCATCCTTTTCTGTTTGGTCATCTTTTTCCTCTATCTGGTCCACTCCTTTGATTTGAGTCCCAGTTTCCTTTCCATTACTATTGGTTTCCTGTGCATTTCCATTCATTTCAATTAGTTTAGCCTTCATATATTCCTCTAATTTGTGGCTAAAATCAACCAGTTCTGTGAGCATCCTGATCACCAGTGTTTTGAACTGTGCATCTGAAAGTTTGGCTATCTCTTCGTCACTTACATTTATCAGCTCTGGGGCTCTGAGTTGTTCTTGAGCCATGTTTTGATCTGATCGTGCCTGTTACATATGAGGGGAGGCGCCTTGGTGTTTACCGGGGCGGGGCCACCCAGGTTGCAAGTTTGTGACGCTGTATGTGACAGCGGGGTCAGAGAGGGAACAATGGCTGTCCTCTTTGCTCACCCAGTCTGCCTCACCGCTCGCTCCCGCCTGCTTATCCAAGCGCAAATGTGCGAGTCTGCTGCCCTGCGTCAGTTGCTGGGGCCTGCGAGATCTGTCTCAACACTCGCCTCTTCACTGGTTTATCTGCGTGCAAATGCGTGACCGACTACAGACAGCCAGCAGCTCCTCTTCCCTGGGTTCCGCCCGTAGCTAGCCTGCACCTGGGATCCATGCCCACGGCTGCCTGTGCACCGCCCGGATCTTTTTTGCCCTACTGGCTCTGCTGCTGGTTTCACCCCTCTCACTGGATTAGCTGAGTGGTCCGTTGTTTCCGGACTCCGTATTCGATTTTCTGTGTGGGTTGGTTGTGTTTATTGTTAAAACTTTGTTGTTTTTAGATTTGGTTGTGCCAGGACGAAAAGTGTTCCCACGTATGCCTCCATCTTGGCGGAAGTCCCCGCCCTGTCTACTTTCTACCTACCATTTTTGTTACTTATTCTCTGTACCTTCTCCCCTTTTCTCCCCCTATCACTTGCCTTCTGATAGCCTTCCATGCAATCTCCATTTCTGTGATTCTGTTCCTGTTATAGTTGTTTGCTTTGTTTTTGTTTTAGGTGTGGTTGTCAATAACTGTGAGTTTGTTGTCATTATACTGTTCATATTTTTATCTTCTTTTTCTTAGATAAGTCCCTTTAACATTTCATATAATAAGGTCTGGGTGATGATGAACTCCTTTAACTTGACCTTATCAGGGAAGCAATTTATCTGCTCTTCCATTCTAAATGATAGTGTTGCTGGACAGAATAATCTTGGATGAAGGACCTTGCCTTTCATGACTTTGAATACTTCTTTCCAACCCCTTCTTGCCTACAAGGTTTCTTTTGAGAAATCAGCTCACAGACTTAAGGGAACTCCTTTGCAGAAAACTTTCCTTTTCTCTTGCTGCTTTTAAGATTCTCTCCTTCTCTTTAATCTTGGCTGATGTAATTATGATGTGCCTTGGTGTATTCCTCCTTGGGTCCAACTTCTTTGGGACTCTCTGGGCTTCCTGGACTTCCTGAAAGTCTAATTTCTCTGCCAGATTGGGGAAGTTCTCCTTCATTATTTGTTCAAATAAGTTTTCAATTTCTTGGTCTTAGTCTTCTCCTTCTGGCACCCCTATGATTTGGATGTTGGAACTTTTAAAGATGTCCTGGAGGTTCTTAAGCCATTCTTCATTTTTTTGAATTGTCATTTCTTCGTCCTATTCTGGTTGAATGTTTCTTTCTTCCTTCTGCTCCAAACCGTTGATTTGAGTCCTGGTTTCTTTCCTGTCACTGTTGGTTCCCTGTACATTTTCCTTTATTTCACATAGTGCAACCTTCATTGCTGTCTGAGTCTTTTTTATGCTGTTGACGTACTCAGTGAGTTCCTGGAGCATCCTGATTACCAGTGTTTTGAACTCTGCATGTGATAGGTTGGCTATCTCTTCATCACTTAGTTGTATTTTTTCTGCAGCTTTGATCTGTTCTTTCATTTGGGCCATTTTGTGTGTGTGTGTGTGTCAGAGTGGCTGTTACATATAACGAGAGGAGCCCGAGGTGTTCACCAGGGCAGGGCAACTCATGTGGCTGCACTGTGATGCTGTAGGTGGGGTAGGGGTCTGAGAGGGAACAATTGTGCTTGCTCCACTCTCTGCTGCTTTTCAGTCACTTCTCCTGGTACCCACAATCAAATTGGGCCCTTCTGGTGCTGATTTCCAGGCGGTGGG